CTATGATATTTACAAGTTGACCCAAAACAAAAGGCCAGTGATTAAGAAAACTCCTCCAAATTTGTTATCAGCATTGTTAAGCTAGTCGCCTACCAACGCAAGAAGCTGAAGAAAAAAAGTTAACACAGAATGGGTATGATTTTAATGCGGTTTTATTTGGCTTATAAAGCTTAATGTATTTTCCTAACAGCAATGAAGAGGGTAAAAATTATAATTCTCCCATTTATAAATTCTCATAACCTACCAACAACTTCAAATGGTTGAATGTGATAGTTAATTGAAAAGAAAAAAATATTCATATATGATTTTCACATGCTATGATAGTATATATGTTCATTGAAGCCCATTGTGTTACAGAGGTTGGCCACGTATCCACCTTTGAAACATTGTGAAGCTCTCCTCTGGTTTATACTCTGCAGTGTGCCCTCCTCCCTGCAAAATTAAACCAAACCTTTAATAATTGTAAAATGCAACTGCTAAAAGATCCCAAATTTTTTGATGAGAAACCAAAAGAAAAGGGACTTGCTTTGATAGTAGCAAATGTCATGTTATTGGCGTAAGTCCTTGTATATCCCATAACTTGATTGTTAACAAGCCATGGTCTCCATTGATCAATTATTGAATAATTAAGAGATTTAATCCAAACTTGTGTTCCAGTAAAAGGCACCACAAAGTCATGATCACCACTATAAACCAATGATCTCAAATACCCTTTGATGCTATTGTTTCGATGGTATGGTACACTACTCTTTATGTCATATTCATAAGCCAAATCCCAATCGCATCTCACCCATTTCCCTATACTTCCCTGCAAATTTCACATCCATTCATTGATTAATTGCTTTATCGGTATTAGATGGTGACATAGATGTGCATATGTATGTGTTTATGACATACTTTCACCACATGAAGTGCTCTGCGTACATCTTCATCATTAGCCCAATGCATAGCTAGCAAGTACCGATACGTCTACATATTTCATATCTATGGTTTAGTAACTACATAATTCCCATTTTATAGCTAAAGCAAAGATCATTTCAATAGAGTTTTGTTTTTGCTTACATAGCAATCAGAAGACGGAAGTGAAAGATCTGAGTGAACAAGTTCCCTAAGATCTCTTCTTCCAATATGCTCTTCTGAAAACGGGTTCGGCGATGCAAAATCACACAATGGTGTCAAAATAAGTGCTTCATTTATCCTTGAAACACACTGCCAATCATCAACCAAAAAAGACCAAATTAGTCTTTTGCTATTCACAATATATTAAACTTGTGTATTTACCTTATTGTAGTATTCCATCAGTTTCAAGCATTTTGTGTTAGTAGGATCAATAGTTACATAGTTTCCTTTGCATCTTCTTTTAAGCGACTGCAAGCAAGAGTTTCGAGATACTATTTCAATTGAAAAACTAGTTCTACACTATGGTGGAGAAGAGATGAGATAAGACTTTCAATATACCTCGTAGAGTTCATCAGAGATCAGTCCCATTCCATGAGCATATGGGATCCTATGGTTATAATCAATTTCATAATCTGTTGCCGGGTTTCCAAGAACATAACCCTGTCGGTACAAAATGATTCCTTTAAACAAGATTTCTCTATATAAAGTCATGATGAACTGATGAGTGAAAATATTGATGAACCTTAAGATTGATTAGAGGTTGGTAGCCATGTTCATTTCCTGCGTAACGGTAATTTATAAGACGTAAAGTGGCTAAGTACGTAGTTAAAAAAGAGGGTTTTTTTATAATGACAACAAAAGATTATAAACAAACCTATTAAGATGTGTTGAACAATGGCTGGAACAACCATACCGGAGTATGAATCTCCACCGACATAGAGAGGATTTGAGGCAAACTCGGATACTCCACA